TGTATACGACTTCATAATTTCAATAATCAATAACAAATCTACTGTAATTGAAAAAAATACCTTGCTTATCTCTTCGACTCTTCTACGTTTTTAGGTTACTGTGACGATTAGAGAAAAATAATGTATTAGTGTTTAATAATTAGGTTTTAAAACTTATTAAAAATATCAAACAAATCCCTATATTTTCAAAATATTCATTTAATTTGCTTCAAAAACCAAAATTAATTTAAAAAAAAAACCAAAATTTGCGTTTCCAATTCGGAAACACGTTTCTGGCCGCGTTTCCAACTGTGGAAACACGTTTCCAAAACGTTTCCAAATCGGGATATTTAGGAAACGCGTTTCCATCGCGTTTCCTCGCATTTCTGTCGCGTTTCCGTTTCCAAAACGTTTTCGAAACGAAAACGCCACTTTTTTCACGTTTCCATGCAACGTAGTTAATAACTTAAAAAAACTGTAATCTTGGATAAAACAACTCTCCTCCTTTATCTTTATGAATATCAATCTATATGTTTCTGAACTTCAATAAAACTTTTTAATGAGCTACTTAAATTTCTATCTTTGTTTTGATTTTGCTCATGATACTTAATCCTCTTAGATTTAACAGAGTTAGCTGCTGAGGTTTAAATATGCATCAACTAAAGTGTTAGGTTTTAAATACCAAATTTTAAAGTATTTTTTTGAGTGAAAGCTCAATACTTTAGATGTTTTTTTTTTTTTCCTATTTGCAATTTATCCTGCATGATAATAACGACTTCCTACAGTGAGTGACGCAGCCAATTAAAGATTCAAACCGTAGTGTTGTGCTGATAATTTAGACGCGACTCTTTTTCCGGTACAACAAATTTTCATTTAATTCAGAGATTGATTAATAAAGAGCCCAAATCTCTGGAAACAGAAAGCTTCACAAATCTGAAAAATGTCTCTGTCATCTTCTTCGATCCATCACTTCATCACCAAAATTCATCATCCCCGCTCCGTAATCTTGTCTGTATAAGCTTCGAGATTGAAAAAACCGGTGAGATTTTGAGGTATCACAAACAAACAAATGGGTATGTCTTCTTCGGAGACTGTGTTGTGCGATTTCTGCAGCGAGAGAACGGCGGTTCTGTTCTGTAGAGCCGACACGGCGAAGCTTTGTTTGCCCTGCGACCACCACGTTCACTCGGCGAACCTTCTTTCGCGGAAGCACGTTCGTTCTCAGATCTGCGATAACTGTAGCAGAGAGCCTGTCTCCGTACGGTGTTTCTCCGACAATCTCGTCTTGTGTCAGGAATGCGACTGGGACGTTCACGGAAGCTGCTCCTCCTCCGCCGCGCATAACCGCTCCGCCGTCGAGGGTTTCTCTGGCTGCCCGTCGGTTTCGGAGCTTGCAGCTGTATGGGGACTCGATTTGGAAGG